CCTGACACAGACAGAAGATGAAGCCAGACATTCTTTGGCAAGAGTTTAAAGAAACCCACATTAGTCTTCTTGGTCTTGTATGGAGATACCAGAACACTGAATAGCTACTCAATTTGTGGAAAAATTTTTAAAATTTATTATTTTTATTTTATGTGTATGCACGTATTGCCTACATGTAAGTAAGTGCACCCATGTCTTGCAATGCCCGCGGAGGTCAGAAGAGGCTGTTGGATCCCCTGGGACTGGAGTTATGGAGAGTTGCTAGTTGCCATGTGGGTGCTGGGATTCAAACCTGGGTCTTCTGCAAGAACAACCAGTGTTCTTAACTGCTGAGCCATCTCTCCAGCCCCATGAAAGTAATTTTTATAAAGAAGGAATGATATGGTTCCACAAACAGGATGTCCATGAATTTTTAAAACCATTGTATCTGCAGTCTCAAAACACAAGAACAATCTCACAGATGATACGCAATGGTGCTATCAGTAGGTAGACAGTAGCTATGCCTAGGGAACAGGAAAGGCTGCTGAAAGGCTACAGGTCGAAAGACACAGATGAGTATCATTTCTTAAGATGCCTAGGATAACACATCACTGAGGATGGACCAACATATCAGTACAAGGGCCTGTGACAATCTGCTCAGAATGCAGTGAGTCTAGCATTGCACATGTAGCATGATGACTAGACTGAAACCTAGAGGTGGAGCTCATAGATCCAACCACAGGACATTAGCAAAATTGACACAAGTAAACACACAGCAGGTTTTGTGAGTTCCATTATAAGTCTTAAACAAATAATTCTACACAGCATGCATATATATACACACACGCATATATATGTATGTGTGTGTGTGCGTGTGTGTGTATGTGTATGAAACACACAGTAAAAATGTGAGACCAAATGAACAGAGGACATCAAGAAAATACAAGCAATTTCAGACTTGGGGTACTAGGTTCAAGGCCTCAAGGAATGACTCAAGTTCTGTCCAGAAAACTAACAACTTCAACAGAAGAGACAGCTTTGCCCCCAGAGGGATTAGACTCACTACATTTTGAGTTCAAATCCCATCTGTGAATTCTTAGCTGTACAACCTTTAACAAGTCACTAAGCCTCTCCATAGTTTCCATCTTTACAAGGGGGCATAGCTACCTCACTGGAGGACTGAATAAACCAGCAGAACTGCTACAGTCATGTAGCGTGGTAATGAACCCATGTTAAAACTGCATGTCTGCTAAAGCAAGAAGCAAATACCTGAGGTGTCACAGGCATGCCTTCCTGTGGAGGGCTCCCTCGGGGGGATGCTGCGCTTATAAATAATGTGGGGTTTGTTTTGTTCCTCTTCATCCTCTTGCTCATCCACAGACAACAGTGGTTCAATAAAATAATCTCCATCATGGGACCGGAATGTGCCCAGCTGCAAATAGAGATGAAAGATTGATTTAACATAATTCAGCCAATAGGAGGGAAGAAAACAAAAGCAAAACAAAAACAACAAGGAGTGGAATAATTCCCAGTAAAGATGGGGTCAGTTTATTCCATTTCTTCTGGAGAGGGCTGCAGAAACTGAAAATGTGGAGATACATGTAGGGAAGTGGCGAATTTCCACTCCCCGCCACACTGACACTTTTTTCTTACTTTTCCTGTAACTTCCTATGTCTGCTTTCCAAGCTTAGCTTTTTCTTGGTGCTCAATTGCAACTCTTTTGCTCCTACAGGTTGCTTAGAGAGAACGTGTGTTAAGATTGCCTGGGAATTCAGGGATACTGTAGACAGCAGAGGGACAAGTTGGCGGCTGAAGGCTTCTCCTTCACGTTCACCAGGTACATGCTGACTACAATGCCTAGAAGGGAGTGCCACCTGTAACCCTGCCACAGGATCCCCTTCCCTTCTCTTTGCCAAAGCAGAGTGCTATCCTGCAAGGCTTTGTGTCCGATCCTGTTACTCACAGTCCCAATACCACACCTGCCCTCTTCATCAGGCAACTTTCTTATATGTTCTGAGGTTTTGCATTTTGTCAATTGAAAGTGATTTCTTTAAAGGGTAACTGCTAGGATTAAATAAAATAATGAAAATCATGCACTTGGTAAAGTGTGGATACCTTTTAAGTCTTAGAACCCCTTAGTGGGTTTTGGTGTTGCTTGTTAGTCTTCAGCCAATTTGCTGTTAGCAATCACTGTGAACACCTCACAAAAGTCATATTTCAGCTCCGTTCCCTACTTGTCTACAAGTCTTGCAAATGATCCATGGGCGGCCTCAAGCTTGAACTACTCAAACTAGATATTATGAAAATACAGTACCCAGTGGGTGGTATCTGGGGGTAAGAAACCAAGCTCTTCTCTCTTTCTCCACTAGCCCATTTCCCCACACTGAAAAATAACCAGAAGCCTTTTCCCACTCTCTAGGCACAGCAGAAAAGAATGTCCCTGAACATTGGTGTTGGCACTTGCACTAGCACCCTGCAGAGCTGTTTAGAAAGTCAAATCACTGGGCTCTTCCTAAGACCTGCTCTCTGCACCAAACATTTTGGGGTCAGCTCAAGAATCAGAATTTTAATGAGCTTTCGGGATCTTCAGGATGCAAGATAAAGCACGCGAAGTGATAGGCCAATGCACTGCATCCTCAAATCAAGAAGGATCAGAATGGCCTACAAAGATCTTTCAGAATGAGATTTGGGGTATCATGCTATGTTCAGAGATTCCAAATGTCTAAGGGTGAGGTCCAGAACCTGAATTTGTAAAGCAGTTCCCCCTGGTGAGTCAGGAACACAGGATCAGGGAGAAGTCAGTTTTAGTATGATTTATGACAGTTACAGGTCATTCACTAGCTGTTTAACACATTCATGCTCCTCAAAGCACCTCTGCTTGGCATTCTGTAAGCACTGGACATGTGAGTCCTGTAGGAGAGAGGACTAGGGAGTGGAGCCTAAGAGGTACAAGAAGGAAGGGATTTGTCCAAAGTTCTCCTTCAGTGGGCAGGTGCATGGAGCTAGTGCTGAGTCTAGGACTCAGAATCCTTTTTGTCCAGTGTCTACAAAAAGGAACTCAATCATTCTCTCGAGGGATAGTGACTGGGCCTCTGGCCTGTGGTTAGGAGCGTGGGTCAGTAAGGCTGGGGTGAGCTTCCAACTTTGTCACCTATCATGAGGCATGGGGCAAGACTGTAGCTCTCAAGGTCTCACCATCTTTATCAGAAAATTGGGTAGTTTTGAGAGCTACATTGTTATATCACAGGGTCAGCAGTAAAAGCTCAATAAATAGTAACAACATGGAGAAAAAATTAGTGACTTTTTTTGGGGTTCACAAATAATTTCTGAGCCCTGAGTTATCTTGTGTTGGTTGAGGTACCCATTTAAATATATACGAACTAGGTACATGTACTATTCAAGTATCTAATATAGGAGAGGATGGGTGGATGCTCATGATACTGCCAAGGACAGGGAAGAACATGTGTACCAAGAACTGCCATACAAGAAATGGGAGAGTGGAGGTATTTATGATTTTGGAGCAGAGGAAAGGTACCCCCTGGAAGACTATGGTAAGGTCTTCTGGGGACAAGGAGAAAACAGCCCTTTAAAAGAAGGGAATGCTGGGCTAGGGATGACTCTCAATGCTAGAGCCCTTGCCTCCACATATACAAGGCCAGGAGTTCAATTCTCAGCTCCCCACCCCGCCACACACAGAAAGAAAGAGCACTGAAATACAGGATTTCAGAAGGAAAAACAGATAGATGAAGATGGACACTGGGATGAATTGGGCAAAAGAAGGTAATGCCTTTAAATACCAGATATGGGAGTTTATAGTTGTTCATTAGTATATGGGGAGCTGCTATCTTGAGCCCAGTTGTTAATGTTTCTGACCTGTGGCAGGAACTGAGAAAAAAAAAAGACTTGAAGAGAAGCAGGTAGGCGGGGGTATTTCTGAGACAACAGTCCTAAGGAGAGGAAGAGAAAAGCCAGCTGAGCTATGGATGCTCATTCAGCAGAAGAGAACAATGTATGAGATGAGATTCAGCAAAACTGGTAACTGTGTGTGTGTGTGTGTGTGTGTGTGTGTGTGTGTGTGTGTGTGTTGGGGGTGGGCCAGGTCGGGAACATCAGTATGCAGGGACTGCTGCAGAAAAGATAAAGAAGACAAAGGCAGAAGGCTTGGAGTTAGATTAATGGTGGAAGATACAAAGATCCAGCGCCTATATCTTTAGGAGATACTCAGGTCCTTCTCCCCCAAAAGAAGCATGTTACAAATGACACGCTATATAAATGGGGTTAGCATAGTCCAGACAGTCGTGTCCAAAGGCTGGGTTCTCAGTTCCCAAAGATACCACGTGTATTATGTTACCACCTAAAACCACCAATGGAAATTAAGGTCCTACGCAGAAAAATATTTATACAACTGCTGGGACTACTCAGATTCCGCCGGTGTGGAGGCGGGGAGGGAGGAGGAGTAACGACTGTTTACCCACGAAGTGCACACGCAGCCCTTTCCCTAAGGTCCAGAAATCAGGGGTCACTAGTTTGAAATCTGGGGTGCACTGATGCTCTGGGATCAACCACCTGACTTTCCAGTCCACCTGGGCGATAACCTCTCAAAGACCCGAGACATTCCAGTGTCCAGACCCCAGGTCTTGAGACCGCGATGACTCAACGCAGCATCCCCTCCCCTCGCCAAAACTGAGGTCTCCGCCTACCCCCAATCAATCTCAACAACGCACTTTGGCGTCGCGATTCCCAGTGTTTAGCTGATGGGTAAAGGCGCACATCCCCTGCTTCGAATTCCAGCAGGCTAGACTCCCCACCACCTCCCCAACAGTCTTCAGGCTTGCCTTGCTCCAGCGAAGAAGGATCTCACAGCTAGACCTGGAAGTTAAGACACAAGACCCAGAGAGCGCCCCGGGTGAGTACCCAAGCCCCCTTCTTGGAAAAGGCGATTAGGAGGGTGTGAGTGCTCAAGGGGAGAGTAAAGCATCAAGGGTAGAGACTTTAATAGCCAGTTGCGTGTAATGCGCCGCGCTGTGAGCTAGGAGGGCCAGTCCAGGGAAAGTTCCTGCGTCATACGCGCATGGCAGAAACGCACGTCTCTTGGGAAAGTCCAGGACCACCCTGGATGGGACCAGAATCATAGAACAGACACTCAAATGTCGTGAGCACGGGGGAACTGATTTTGTGTTAATCCCAGTGGAGAGTAAATGGAGGGGTCAGGAAGGAGGTGCTCGGGGTATCAATCTGGATCCCCACTAAGTGCGTACTTCCCAGCGCAGGGTGATGCCCGCCGCTCCCAACCCGCCTAGGGAGACGCGCGCTATACATCTCTTCTTCCTACTCCTTGGAACCGCTACGGGTTCCAGAACAATGAGAACCTCCTTAAGGATACCTCTCCAGACCCTTTCCCACTATTTCTGTGTCTCGGGGCCACCCCGCCAGCAGGGTGCAGAGTCGGACTGCTCTGCAACACCCCTCCCCCAAACCGCCGGTTTTTTGAGGCAGACTCCGCCTTCTATCCCCGCCCTCAGACTCCTTGGCCCACCCTTCCTTTCCTGTGATTGGACCTGTTCCCTGTCAATCCGGTTCAGTTTCAAAATTCCTTGCCCGAGATAAAAAGCCCGGAGAGTGCGCGGGGGCACTAGATTACTCACTCACTCACTTACTCACTCACTCACTCAGAGGAAGGGAGGGAGAGAGGGAGAGAAGCGGGAACTAGTGTAGAGGCAGAGAGGCAAAGAGACACAGAGAGAGAGAGGAGAAGAGGGAGAGAGGGAGAGAGGGAGAGAGGGGGAGAGAGAGAGAGAGAGAGAGAGAGAGAGAGAAAGAAAGAAAGAAAGAGAGACCCAGTACCGGTGCCAGGGGATTGTCAGCCCACATCCCCAGCTCTGGACAGGCCAATGAGAAGTCAGGTCCGCCCTGCGCTCAGCTGCTCCGCTCGCGGGCGGCCAAGTTTGCTACAAGAAACCACAACTCCAGCAACTTTCTCAGAGTTTGGAAACCGGCTTGTAAGCAGCTCTGCAAACGTTGGGTTATGTACAGCAAGCCCAATCCAGTCTCTAGGTAGCTCAAAAAAAAAAAAAAAAAAATCCACGACCCTCGAGGGGTAGATGTGCGCGCTCCTCGGGAGTGTAAGCGCACGTACCCAGCTGGTGGACCCCCGAATCCGGAAACCTAAGCCAGTGTCTGATATTTAACGCCAGAGTAGAGACTCCATGAGTTCAGACTAGGGTGCAATTAAGTCTTAAAAGAAGCAGACGAGGAGGCGGAGAGGAGGGAAGGGGCACGTGCCCACTTACCATTCCGGAGCACAGGCTGATGACCGCCGTGTGCTCGGACTTGGTATTGACATGGCCATTGTAGAAACAGTGCCTAAGTTCCGCTTCGTCTTCGGAATACAGCTTGGTCTGGTTCACCCCGGGTTCTCCAAAGAGGGTGACAGTGAACAGTGGAGCGATAAATCCGGCATTGGAGGTGAGATTAAATAGAAACTGCTGGCCGAAGGCGGACAGGCGGTAATGTGCCTGGGAAGAGGTAGAAGAGGACGAGGAGGAGGCGAAGGCAGGCCAGGGGTCAGAGGCAGAGTTAATGCTCCGTCGCTTTCTTTTGAAGTGCACGTTCGTGGGAAAGGGTTCCCCGAGGGCGTTCACTCGGATCGGAGACACGATCTCATATTCGCTCAAGGTCTCTAATAATTTCACTGCAGGGAGAAGCAGAAGTATATGAGCTAACCATTCATTTTTCCTGCAAGTTTTAATTTAAAAAAGAATTGGGGGGGGGTGTTGTCCCGACTGATTTTTGCGGCCCATTCGAGTCAATTCTTTCACTCTCCATCAGGGGACAAATATTTGCTCAGCACCTACTGTGTAATAGTAATTGCAGAAAATCTTGTTAGGTGTTGAGAATAGAGCATTGGAAGTCAGACAATAAACAAATCAAGAAACATAAGATGATTACAGGTCCTGATAAACATCCTTAATAAAATAAAACTTGCGCTATCTGATGACCTCAGTTACTAAGTAACATTAATTTGGGACAAGGGAGTAAGGAGAGTGAAAAATTCGGACAAAAGGTGCTGGGAATAGGGGGCTCTAGAATGTGTGCAGTGCATCCTTAATAGTGTACTAGGGATGATCCGGAGAAGGGAGAGGCTCTATAGCCGGAGGTAATTCTTTCTAGGAAAAGGAGAGAGGCCTCTACTGCAGAATGCCCGCCCCGGAGCGCGTCCCAGGAGATGGTGATGGAGGGTTAGGGGAATCCTGAGGGTCCGTTGCCTCGTTACCTTGCCTCGGGTGCAGCCTGTCCTTGCGCACGGCCGACGCGGCGTCTGGGCTCCCCATCTCAGCCAGGTCCCGCACCAGGAGCGTTAGCAGTGTGGCCCAGGATACAAACTGCATGGTGCTCTTCACCCCTCCCCCCGCTGCTCCCACCCCCTCCCTCCTGCCCGCTTGGCTTGTGGCGGCTACGCTAAGCAGCAGCCGCGGAGAGCGCGCGGAGCCCCGGCGGCCCCGCCGCCAACTTTTTGACTTTAGGAGTCGCTGAGGTCTAGCGGAGACGGTCCCGTCTGCGCTCGCCTGAGCAACGCTACCGCCTGCCGAGAGCTGAGCCGCTCGGGCCGCAGGAGGAGGAGAAGGAGGCGGAGGACGACTGGGGCTCGGCTGCTCGGCCGCATAATGTCCAGCAAGCCGGCAGGAGAAGGCGCGGAACGTGCGCTCCGAGGCGCGCCGGGCGCCCTGTGCTGGCCGGGGTAGCGGAGCCGCTTCTTGAATGGGGGGCCGAGGGGCGGGGGGGGGCCGCCGCCTCTCAAATACCCCGGGTGCACGCCTCCAGGAGGAGGGCAGGGGAGGAGAAAGCGAGGCAGGCGGCCCGCCTCCTCGCAGATGCCTTCCTCTCCTCGGCCGCCCGTGCGGGTCTCGCCGCCAGAGGCCCCGCCGGCTGCTGGAGGCGGAGGCCAGGGACGCCGGCCGCGCGGGAGCCGTCGGTGGCGGCCCGCGTCACCTCCTCGAGGTGGGGTTTTCAGAGACTCCTTGCTTGGGAGGGAGAGTAGAGAAAGTTCTCAGTCCTGCTGGCGCTCAGCCCTCCACCCCGACTCTTCTCTGGGCCTTCGCCCTTCTCTCTTTGGGTCTTTGGGTATCTGACCCTCCTCTCTTGGGGTTTCTCCTCTCTTGGTTCCCCACTGTAGCCTCTCCATCCTTTTCTCTTTCGTCTGTCCCTCTCCCCTTTCTCCCTCCTCCCCACCCTCTTTCTCCCTTCTCGGGTCCCCATCTCTTTCCACCACTCTTGGGATTCCTTACCAGTGAAAGTGGCCCAGCCCCGGAGTCCCCCGTCCCCGTCGCTTTTGGAACCAGGTTTGGCACCTGAGCTCCGCTGCTCTCCATTTAATCGCCCCAGGTCTAGAGTTTTAGAATCAGGGATCTTAATCCTGTGGTTCCAGTTGTGTTTGAAATCCTCAGTCTCCTGAATGTTTCGCAACAGTTTAAACCCGTGCCTTAGCCGGACTTCTGCCCCCATGCCCAGAGGGTCTACAGGTTTTCGAAGGTCCCCAGCCCAAAAAAGGTTAAGGCGTGCTCAGGATAGAGAAAGGGGGCGGGGACTTAGGCGCCCTAGTCTACCTTCGGGATTTAGGGAGGGGAAAGGAGAAGGAGTTGTGGAGTTGAGACGCAGTGGATCCCTGGGGAGGCACCGGTCTCCAGAGGGATTTCTTAATCACTTCCGCTCGCTTTAACTGCTTTAACTACGGTGATGGTGGGAGCGGGGGGGGGGCACTACAAACTATACCTACCTCCCCCTTGGGGATGCACACGTAAAAGTCAGAACTGCTTGAGGAAGAAAAAAGGAAGAGAGAGAATAGTTTAGTCCTGGATAGTTCGAAAACACCTTTTCCCTTTAGATGTCAGGAAGTGAGGATGTGTTAATTTCAAGGGAAAGGAAATGGCCATTTCAGTAAAAGATATGACTAATAAATTTATCTTTGCTCAAATTTCTTAGAACCAGAGTTCACGCCTGCTTGCTGGTCTAGCATTACAACTGAGAATACTAAAGACTGCCATCAGAGACCAAAAAGCAGTGTGCTAGAAATGCAGCCCATCCGGGAAATAATAATGCATATATTTCTGGTGAGGCAGTGAGATGGAGAAATGTAGACCAGTCTAAACCACATAGGGAGAGCCTGTCTCAAAAATAAATAAATAAAAAAGATTACACGGGTGCACTTGTATACATGTAGGCAATACACTCACACACATAAAATAAAAAGGTTATAAAATGAGAACACTTGAAGAGAGAAGCAGAGATTTCTAAAGGGTAGCATTTCAGCCTTGGATCTTCAAAATAGCTCTGTAAAGTGAATGTCTTCTGGTATGCTGTCTTTCTTTTCATTATGTGATAAAAAGTCTTGCCTCTCAGTGTGTCTGGGAGTTGCTGAGATTTTAGCAACTAGAACTCAATCAGTGAACTGACTCCAATGGAAAACGTTATACTGCTTCCACTAAAATTATTCAAAAGTATAACACTTTTCAAAGTATTTTCCACTAGACAATTCTGTTTTAATTCAAATCCCTTTTGATCAAGGGAAGCCAGCAATATAGAAATTACTATACATAGGGACACATTTCTTGTGTGTACACTTGCTCTTTTGCTTTCTTTCTAAAACTTTAAGGATGAACTTTGTTTAGAGTTTAAAAATTGCTTCTGAGATGACACAGCCATTCCCATAAGAGCTGGTGGCCAAGGAAGGTGTGAAGTGTCTGTCTCCTGTGGCCTCCTGGGGTGTTGGGAACCTCGGGCTTCTGAAGTTTTCATCCTCATAGAAGCACCCATTTTGCTTCAATGTATTAGCTGGCCTCTGCTTCTCCACCTACAAACAGGTCTTTAAAAATCTTAGAAAGATGTGTTTCAAATAATAAGAAGCAAGAAAGATACAAATGGGCCAGGCAATTCAGATAGCAATCTTTGAATACTAATTCAAACTTACCATGTACCAGACATCATGGTAATACAATGTATTTAATTTAACTTTCACAACAGCTCTGTGAGTCAGGGGGTAACAGCAATTTCATTTTACAGACTAGGATACTGATGCCAGAAGAAAAGCAGAATCCTTGACTAGTAAGTGACATGATTCAAATTGTTTTGGAAGTTTAGTCTAATGTCATTCTATATAATGAATAAATGATTAATCAGAAGTATCACAAGGTTTGGGGAAAGGTGACTAATATTGCCCAGAAAATTACTATTCAATTTCCTATTGCTCTCCTCCTCTTCCTTCCCCTTCCCTTCCCTTTCCTTTCTTTTCCCCACTAGTGGGAATTAAACCATTAAATTCAGGGCCTAGCATATGCTATGTTGGCACTGTACCACTGACCTACATCCCAGTCATTTTGAGTTAACAGAAGGATAGTTTTTAGCCCATTTTTCTCTCTGGGTCTTTACTAGAATTGAAAGTTACTACAGGTTAAAGTGGAAGTCTTATTTTGCTAATCCTGCATGAAATTTGGATCCCAGAAGAGTGATGTTAGCAATAGATAGCCTGGTAGATGAGAATGAGAGTGGTCACATCACAAGTGATTCTGTTAGTTGGATACCTTCAAACAGCAGGAAGGCCATAGGAAGGAAAGCCATTTATTCCTGTGGAAAGGGGAAGCCCACACCTAAAAGATCAAGAAGAACCAGGAGCCAGAAAAAGAAGTTTCCTGAAGAGCCAACAATAGGCAATTTGTGAAAAGATAGACCCCTGGTACTGTACCACACTGGACTCTGGTGAACAAACATTCTGATGAGCTACTGATGGTGGCTGAGCTCTGCCACCTTATGTATCACTTGCTCAGAGCCAGCTTCTTGTTTGTAGGATGGGACTAGAAAAAACCTGCATCATCTTTCTGTCATGTGGGCAAAACATGCTAAGAAAGAAGCTTCTTTAGTTCTCTTTTTTTAAAAAAAATTATTTTTATTTTATGTGTATGAATGTATTGCCTACATGTATATAAGTGCACCCATGTAGTGCAATACCCACGGAGGGCATTGGGTCTCCTGGAACTAGGGTTACAGCTGATTGTTAGCTGCCATGTGGATACTGGGACTAGAATTTGGGTCCTCTGCAAGATGAGCCAGCACTCTTAACTGCTGAGCCATCTTTCCAGCTTACTTTTTGTATTCTTTTATCTTTGTTGTTATTTTGATTTTTTTAGACAGAGTCTTACTGTATAACCCTGCCTGGCCTGGAACTCACAGTGTAGATCAGTCTGTTCTCAAAGTTGAAGTTGGCTCTTGATTCCTGAGCACTGGGATTACAGTGAATACCACCATGCTGCTGAGCTCTGTGTTTTTCCTTTGGGTCAATTATTTAATCCTTACAGCAACCCAGCCTGCTGGGTTTTTATTCTCATTTGCTTATGAAGAAATCGGGCAGCAAAGGGAAGTGGACTGTAGAGCATCACAGAACAAGGAGAGCAGAGCTGGGGTGGGCACTAAATTGGATTCCATTCTTTTTTTCCCTATAAAATTATTAATTTATTTTTACTGAAATTCTGTGTATTTCATACAGAACATCTCAATCAATCTTAATCATCTTTATACCTCCTTCCCCACTGGCACCTCTCATAGCACCCCCCCACCACTGGAATTCATACATTTTGTCATTTGTCTTAAGGCCTGTTGGGTCAAGTTTAGTGTCCCCAGACGTACCTCAATGCAAGTTCATTTACTGAGGTCTAGTCAGCCTATCTAGAGTCTCTTGCATTAGGAAGAGCAACTCTTCCTTACCAAGCAGTAATCAGTTACCAATATATTTCAGCCAAGATTGGGGTCTGCTGTCCACTTCCCAGTTCTGTGCTGTGTTTTTGTTTGTTTGAGTTTAGATTCAGTTCTAAAGCTTGCGATTTCCATGATGGAGCACCGCCTAGTGACATACAGAATTTTGCCTGATTGTTCATGGTCTCTCAGCCTTTGCACCCAATCTGATAAATACAGTGCGTAAAAACATTATTTTTGCATCAAATGCTAAATTTAAAGTTCTGAAAAGCTTCTGTTAGGACTCCCCAGAAAGTCCTTGGTCCAGTTTGTGAGGTGGCTTTTTAAAACATGTATCAGAGGCTGGGCATGGTGGTACATGCTTTTAATTCCAGCACTCAGGAGGCAGGGGTAGGCATATCTTTGGGAAAATGAAGCCAGCCTGGTCTACATAGTGAGTTCCAGGCCAGCTGGGGCTACAGAGAGCCCCTGTCAAAACAAGCAACAAACAGATGAAAAACATGTATCAGATCTCCACACTGGTATCACCTTTAGCCTGCTCACTCACAAGGTCCTCCTTGCTTCCTTGCCATTCTGGAAGACCACATGTGAGGCCATTGCTCTGGCTTCAGAGTTGAATATGAATCCCACAGATGCTTCCTTTGAGACTGTACAGAAGGCCTTACATTTTTCTGCTTCCTCTTGCCTGTGGAATGAGATCATTAAGTCTGGAGTTCAACCACAAATGGAATTTAGAAGCTCTAGACTTCTAGATTAGATCTAAATCACATAAGCTGAAGTTAACTTAGATGATGGTGACATGACTTGTGCAGATCTGATTTCCCTATTTTCTAAAAGTGATATTTGATGAGATACATCTTTCTGGAATCTGACAAATCTTGAAATATTTAGAGTTGTGCCAGAATATTATATTCCTGTATTCCAGAATGTATCCTGACTTAGTTGGGACACAAGTGGTTATTGTTTCAAGAAACTCCAGAAATACAAAGGAAAAATATCCCCCTATGTGCTGTCATAAAGCAA